CAAAGGGCTATGTAAAGAATTGATCTAAGTCTTAGAAGATATTCTCGCAGGGTGGGGTGCGGGTGTGTGGATGGGTGTGGGCGTGAGTGTGGGTGCTGATCTGGGTGTGGGTGTGTGGGTGTTGGTCTGGGTGTGGATGTGGGTGTGCGGGTGCGGGTGAAGAGAAGCTTCACACGCCCACCCCCACCCACACCCACACACCCCACCCCCACCCACACCCACACACCCCACCCCCACCCCACTCACACCCACATCCACACCCTAATGTGAATGATACCAATAAGTACCTGATTGATCACCCGTAGAATACGTATATACAAATAATTGATTTGGTAATATAGCAAATTGAGTGATACCTGGAACACCATCCATATGTAATGTATTTCGTTGTATTAAACCATGCCAATGAATCGTAGTTTCTTCTGATGATTCATTAATTATTGTTGTATTGATTAAATTACCTTTCTCTACTATAATAGTAGGTGCTGGAAATTCATTATTAATACTTAATATAGGTCTTTCATATGTGCCAGGAGATGCGTTAAACCATCGAATATGAAATTCAGCATTGTACGTACGTTTTTTCTCTACCAAAAGCACATAAATATATTCAGATAAAAAATAGAATAAATTAAGAAGAAACAACATATTTAATAAAAAGAATAATAGAATTTCTTAGATTTGCTTTTGATTTTATCTAATAATTGTCAATTTTGTAATTGATATATGAGTTTTAAATTTCTCACAAATTCAGAATACATAGAATCCGAACTGGTCTTCTTCGAATCTATTTTTTCTTTCTATCATGTTTAACATCATGATTATTACATTATCTGTTTCAATTAAATTTTGATCTGCAATATGAATAATCTGAATATCAGATGTTTTAATCGTAATTATTATAGAAGAATTATTTTGTAAAGAAACTTTAAATGGCATTTGTTTGCGATTGATCGAATTCAAAGTTTCATTTTGGCAATGAGTGCATGATACGACAGTAGTTATTGATAAATAGATCTTCAAAATATCTTTATTACCAAAACTCGATTGAGAATTTCCTCTACGATAGGCAATTTAAAAATATCGATAAATTCAATTAGTTAAATATTTATTCTTATAGTGAATGTCATTTATTTTCAATTTTCTTTTCACAAAATTACATACGATTAATATTTTTCATCTATAATTCTGGTTTAGATTTATTCATGATCCATTGTCATATGTGTCAATAGTGATATAAATAAGATGAACACTGTCTCAGAGGTTTTCTCTGTAAAACTTACAATATATTGAAACAGCCACAACGAGTGGTAGCATTGATGACCGTGATAATAGTACATGGAACTGATATTGCTTGACACTATTATAAGAAGAATAATTAAAATATAAAACATTAGATAATAATTTATTTTACGATTGTCTCAAACATTTTTATATCATATGCATTTAGTAATCCATGTTTTGCTTTTATAGTATCAGGTAAAATATAAGTAAGAACCGCATAGGAAACGACTATAAAAAAGAAGAAATACAGGTTACAATTTCAAATAGTAGATCTTACCTGGAGCTCTACCACCACAAGTAGGCTTGTTTAGTTGATTTTTATCGGAATATTGACATTTGATATCATTACAACATACAGATACAGTTTTATCAGACATTTCACTTGTATCTAGACATGGATAGTCTGCACGCAAACATTTGAGAAGATTTGCTATACAGATAGTCAAATAAAATGAGACCAAAGAAAAATAATAATAACGAAATGTTACCCTACGTGTGTTATGGACAATAAATGTAGTGGAATCAACGTGATTCACTGGAAAATATTGTTGAAAAAGTAAGCTTTTCCATGATGATTGAAATAGACTGATCAAAAACTAGTAATGAGAGAAGATAGACACTGCTATTTTTGTTTTCAATTGTATGTTTAATAGTAAAATGAATAGGAACTGATGATTGATTCGTATTTAATTGTAAATGATGAATATCATCATCATTTATACTTTGTTTAGTAATTACTATAAGATTTGCATCTTTTAAAGAATCTTCATATTCATTCTGATGTAATATGCTAGTCCTATTGATTGAGGCATTCTCAGCTGAGAAAAAACATAGACATTTAAATAAATGAAAATATTTATAAATAATTCATTACATTTCGCAAATCTAATAAGATAAAAAGGAAAAAAATGCAGCAAAAATAACAATGGATTCATGTTGTATATAAAGCAGAAATGCTACACTTCTGTCAGTTGGTATTAATTCACTTATGGAGAAAAACAAAAGTAAATGATAACAAATGTCAATTATCCATGAATAGTATCAACACTGCAGATACCTGGGAGTGTTAATATCCGTTGAAATACTTTTGTTTCCATCAATGTTATACTTCATCATGAATGAATTGTTCTCTTTTCTGAAAAAAATGGTTACACATCGTGAAATATCCTAAAACATGGGCATGCCAATGTCTTCTATTGAGGAGTGGAAATAGATTGCAGTATCTTATTATTAGATATAAGACGGAAGTCATTTGTTTCACATTATGAAGTTCTACATATCACACGCGTCTACATTCACAGCCACATCTCTCCTATAGTTAAAAGCCAATTTTCTGAGTTTGTTGCTGTTGTTTTTTGAAAAAATGTTCACTTAAGAGAAGATACATGATTTATTGGACTGATTGAACAATCGTTTTACGCTAATAAATCTTTTAATACGTAGTTTTTCTAATATAATAAGCGGTAACCTAACTTGAATTGGTGCAAGCCTAGTAACATGATGGATAGGAGGTTTCCTGTAATGCTTCAGGCAATTTAATTAATCTGTTCGTCAAGTTGTGAGTATCGATGTGTACAGTTGTTCTTCTTTTCATCATTCATACCCCCACCCTTGATTACACTTGTCATGTCATTAAACGAATTGATTCACATTGCCAACTGTTCAACGTGTGAAAATAGACTACAAAGATGTAACATGTTGATAGCGCTTGCTGCTATTTCAGTATCATCGATTGTGAGCTGATGTAGAGAGGGCATGAACATATGAACACGATTGATCACGGTTGACAAGGACACAATTGTGTTTGTTATCAAAAAATGTTCATTAGTGGTCAGACTGATGATCAATGGAACAGTTTCAAATGAGACATTGATGCCATTAAATTGAAGAGATTTGATCCGTTGCTAGCAATGAGTTTGTGGTGTTGTTGTCAAATCCTGGATGGACAATTTTTCGACATTTCCAATAATAATCTGCTCAAAGTTTGGTGTGGACGTGTAATATGATGTGTTAGACAAGGAAAAGTCAATTATTCGTGAAGCTAAGATAGATAGAGTAAAAAGATGTGACTCTTGCTTGTCAAATATGAAGAACTAACGTTTTTCAACGAGCTAAAAAGCTAAATGAAACGTGTCGAGAAGATTGTTATCGATTTGTGATAAGATTGCTATTCATCACCTGATGATCTCGTCTGTGCAGGATAGATTAACATTAATGATTAGTAGATATACAGGGTTGCCAGATCAAAATCTTACAAATCGGAATTCATTTGCCTGAATTCGGAAAATTTCGGAAAAATATCTGGCTAATTCGGAAAAAAATCGGAAAGTAGTGGTTTTTAAGCTTTTTGACGCTCAAGTTGATTTTTTTGGTAAAAAAAGCGTTCTGAGTTTGGTTATCCTCTCTGTAGATATATTTCATCAATATTAAAACAAATATATTAAATATAGTACTATTAGAAAATATCATTTTCAAGAAGAGACAGTTAATACACGAAAAAAAGCTCAAAATAAACTATCTATACATGTATGTATACCTACAATTCAAAACATTTATTGAAAAAGAAACTAAAGTTCATTTACTAAGACGTTTTTTCGAACAAACATTTCATTTTAAGCTATTTTTTTTCAATAGTTCCTCTTGAGTAAAAGAAAGTCATGAACATTTACACAAGGAATATCGGAATTCTTTCTGATTTATAACTCAGATTTCATCAATTCGATATCCATTCAATTTCGATAATCAGATCATA